TCAGTCCTCGTTGTTGGAGCGCTTCTTTTAGGGGCAGCTGCAAAGGAAACCATGTCGCTACTAGTTAGTAACAATGAAGTTCATATAAAGGAGTCCAAATCAAAGGGGGATAACCTTCAAGAATGTCGGATTCAATGTGAACATCTTCGATACCAACATGAAGGTGCCCTTTGAAAGTATCGAGTGTATGTTTAGTCGGAACGACCCATTTCCCTTTCGGCTTCGACTGCTGTCGAAGGATTTTTATGGAATCCCCACAAATGAACTAATCTAGAAATGGAGGGGCAAGAGCCACTCCAAAATCAGTAGTAGGTAACCGAGGGGTCTTTGGAGGGAATATATTAAAAGCAACCTCATATCGTTTCTCACGAGGAACAGTTGAGGGGATTTTTAGATTCTCCATTTTCTTGGAAAAAATTTCCTTCAAAGTGACAACAGCCTCGCGGATGGTTCGACTAACATCATCTGGTCGATAGGCGGTTTCAAAGTACTTATGGAAGTTTTGAATTTATTTGATATGTGTAGATGTACCTTTCTTGATCTTCTTTTGCACATCAATGAAAGCTTGGTCAATCAAGCGAGTAAAGCCCGAAACATCAAGAAACTCTGAAGCATAGTGGTTAGACCACTAGTTGTGGAACTGTGGGGAACAGAAGTAAGAGGGTTCAAAAGGAATGAGTGTGAGAAGAGATTTGTGGGCATGGCACGCCAAGTGTGTCGAGCATTCGATGGGATTAAAAGAGCTAAGAGGGAGTATCACATGGGCTTTCTTGTCATATAGATATTTAGGCAGAGTTTGTATCAACCCAAATTGCCGTGATACTAGGTTTGGCTAGTAAGCTACCAAAGAGGTTGAGTTTGTGAACTATAAGTCGAGGCGTAAGAAATCGTTCCCATATCACCTTCGACTCTTCTTCTTGTTTCTTTAACAAAGGAGGAAAGGGTCTGGTAAACCATTCAGGGTCACACTTCCTTTCTGCGAATGGAGCCATCCTCGGAGTGAAATCATGACGCTTGGCGAACATGTGAATAAAGTTCAAAAGATTGGATCTAAGCGTGTGTCTTTCTTCACTTGGGGTAAGTTGCACCAAGCGGGGCCATTCGACTTGTCTTTCAGTGGAAGATGGCGAATCCTCGTCGACTTCTGCTTTTTGTTTGGGAGGCTACTCTCAAAAGTAGCGTTGAGCCACAGTTGGAGCAACCAAAAAGGACCTGATAATAGAAGGTTCCCACATATGTCCTTGTCCTTCAGCTTGCCAGCACCTTCGCTTAAAGCTTCATAGAGAGTAGCTAGGATCATCTCGCTTAAACAAATGCCTCTTTTCAGGTGTAGCTGATTGGCCAAAGTAAGGTACTTCCGAGCCACCTGCAAAGATTTAGTGCAAAAGACATAACGAGACAACCACATGGCCAAGAAGGCTATATGTTCTTCAGCCTCGACAGTGTTAGTATTCTTATTATGGTAATGATTGATAAAATGGGTATAGGTGTGCTTTGTATTCAAAGAACCTTATGGTGTCTTGACCGTCGATCTCAGGGTCGTAAACCAGTCTGTGAGGTTTTAGCCCGATAATAGCGGCTATATCAAAGAGTGCTGGTGTCATCATCCTACACGGAAGATGGAAAGTATAATGGGTGTTGTCCCAGAAATACAGAGATGAAGCCAACATGAGGGGGTAGTAATTTGGGCCGACCTTCGACATCATTATCAAATCATAAATACCAGTTTCTTTCCAGTCGTTGGCTTTCACCTTCACCACTTTCGCCAACCAGTTTAGATAAAGTTTGGAATCCTTAAAATAAGGGGTGGCCCTAAACAATCTAGCTCCGTCGTTGAGGTACTTAAGGTCTACATTATAAGATGCTAAACTATCATGACCTTCAACGGGAATCTTGCTAGAATCCTTTTGCCATAAGGGTTTGGTGTTACGGTAGGAAGGAAGGAAGTCATTTAAGCTGGAATAGTTGAGACCTAAGGGAGATAGTAGACCAGACATAGCTAAAGGTTTGCCTACAACAGTAACAAGGATTATTACCTGAGACTCGTAAATATGGCGTTTCTCCTCCAACAAAGGTTCACGGATGAACTGTTGATTCTTCACTACTTTTGGTCCACTCAAGATGGTGAAAGGAGGAAGGAGCGGCGTAGCAAGTTTCCCTTTGGTTTGTGTTTTCTTCTTCTGAGGTTGGTTTTCAGCCATGGTGGAAGTTGGGGAAAATGGGTTGAGAGTGAAGGGATACATGGAGAAAAAGATGTGAATGTTTGCTAAAAGATTGAAAAAAATGGAAATAATATCCGAAAAGGTATTTATAAGATGTTTTGAAGATCAAGAGTTTAGTGGCTGGAGTTAGTGGGCCACGTGGATGTTCCAAAACGGAGAAGTAGGGTGGTGGCAGTTGCTGCCTATACCCATAATTATCTTAGGCTCTCAAAGAAATAATGATGGTTTTCTATTTTTGTGAGTTCCGAGAGATCCGTCATGATGACCCATGACGTCAGAAACGTGCACAGGGATAGCAGAACAGTTTCCCGTCTATTTCTCTCATTGGTTTTCTTTTATTAATTTCTTATTTATTTCTTTCCTTCACCTTCTCAAACGCATGTGCTCGAATCACATTTATGGCTCTGAGAAAGTCGAAGCGACGACGTCGAATTAGGCGCTGTCAAAAAATGTCCCTTTTCTACATACAGGTCGAAAAAGACATTTTTGGGGGGCAATTTGTTAGTCCATAAATTCGACACCTCTTATGGATTAAAATATTTTAAATAAAATATTAAAGTCTTTTAAAGAGCTTTTCGAAAGACCCGAGACCGTCGAAAAGAGGAAGCTAAGATGTTCTGGGGACATAGAGAAACTTCTGGATGTTGAAGAGTTTGGCCTTCGACCGAGATGGTTATTTGGAAATTAACAAAGGCGTATGCTTCTATTACTTTGGATTGGGCTAAGATTATTTGGTCTAATGATATCCCCTCTTCTAAGTTCCTCTTAGTGTTGGAGGTTAATGCATAATACAGTCCCTTATGGTTACAAGTTACAACTCAGAGGCAATTGAATGGCCTCAATGTGCTATTTATACCATTCCTCTTCAGAAACTACTTTACACATTTTCTTTTAATGTCCTTTTGCTATAAAATTGTGGTGTTAGTTAAGTTCTGTTATTCATGTTCCACTGCATATTTCCTTTTTGGGGGAGTTGTGACTTCTTGGTGATAAAAATAGGTCCAAATCTGATGCATAAATCTTCAATTCAACTTTCGTTTTTTTCATTAATGTCATTTGATCTGCTAAAATTTTTGTAAGGTTAACTATGGAATTCATCATGACTCATGTCAGATCTCAAATTAGCATAATTGGTAAGAGATATTGATTATCTTCCTCTAACTCCATGAATGAGTTTGTTGTCAGGTCAACTTTTGACATCCCTTTCCAATCCTCTAAACATTAGAAATTACTATGTAAAGAATAAGTTTGAATCATCGATCAATAAATTTTCCCTTTGAAAGAATTTGGTTTGACCTCCCCCTCCTTTTCACCTCTCTTCTTTTCTTTAATATATTTGGATTTTATAAAATAAACCTTATTTTTGTCAAAATTTAAAACTAACATATATCACTAAAAAATTAAAATAAAATTATAAATTAAGTTAACGAACAATGCGATTAATTAAACTTTATTTTTATTGGACAAAACTAATTTTAATTATTATAATAAATTAAAACTAAATTAAAATAAAATATATTTTAATAGAGAATATTATTTAAAGAGTTTAATAAATACACATTATCATTGTAAAAATTACACAATCGTCCATTAAAAATCATTAATTTATCAAATCATCTAAACCATTTTAAATATCCGTCCTTTATTACTATCTAAATTTATTTTACATAGTCAAGATATTTTCTATTTTCTTTATATTAAAAACTAGATGCGGTCCAACGGGTAAGTACTTAGTTTGTTGTAGGCCACAAATCATCCTCTATCATAAGAGACAGAGAAATTTAAAAGTTAAAATAACACTAACACAACGAAGCATAGAGATTCCTTGGATATAGATAGAGCCGGTCGATGGAGAAGGACGTGCCGAATAGGCAGGAAATTTTGTTTGTTGGCTCCTTCCGCTCTCTCCGCCTCGCCAACACCTTGTCTTTTTAAATTTAATAACAAACAAAAATAAGATGAAAATATAAAAACAAGAGAGAGAAAGAGAGAGAACAGAACCACGTGATGACAGGCACAGCTTTTGAATGAGGTGTCGAGGTTTAATTATTGTTTCTTTCTATCTTCCTCTTTCATCCTAGAGAGAAACTCAGAAACCAAAATTCAAGAGTTTCTTGCTCTTTCAGTGAACTCCCAACAGAAACTTCTTAGGTAATCTCTCTCTTGTGTTTTTTATATTTTCATCCATTTTTCTTTAACTATTGTTCTTGTTTCTTTCCGTCTTTGCGCTGCGTTATTAATTATCCATTTAAATGCTTCCTTTTTAGATTCTGTTTCTTCGCTTTTCAAACAGTTTCAATTTTTGTTCCTTTATCAAACATGTTTTGAATCCAAAAAATTTAAGGATTTCTTAGAATATTCTTCCGATTTGATTGTTTAACCCTTTCCTTAATCATTCACAAATTATTCGATTAGTATATGCTAGAATAGTTAATTTTTCCTAGGACTATTGAATATAGTTTCGCCATATTTTTCCTAGGGCTAGGGTTTATCGTACATGAGACCTGATATCACTTCATTTACAAGGACTACTGAATATAGTTTCGCCATATTTTTGCACACAATAGGTTCATGCTTGAGAAATTCCCTTTATGAGTGATTTTCTTTTACCTCAATTTAGTATTCATTTAGGAAATAAATGCAGAGAATGTGTTGTTAAATTGTATATTGTTTGTTTCTGATACCTTATGTGCTGAAATTGTAACAGGTGACCGTGAACATTCTGATCATTGAATTGGAGAAATCAATTAGAATTCTTAAACATTTTTCTTTCAAGGTATGACTCTCCGAACGCGTGCCACTTCTCGACGAAAAATTCCGAAGTTCTTCTATCTGTTACTTTGGTTACTTGTGCCGATTTGTCTATTTGGAATTTATGTCCATGGCCAAAAGGTTGCCTATTTCTTTCGACCTCTTTGGGACAACCCTCCTGCCCCTTTCACAATTATACCTCACTATTACGCCGAAAATGTCTCTATGGGTCACCTCTGCAAGCTTCATGGTTGGTCACTTCGTTCCCAACCTCGGCGCATTTTCGATGCAATTATCTTCAGTAATGAGTTAGACTTGTTAGAGATTAGATGGCATGAGCTTTATCCATACGTAACAAAATTCGTGATCCTCGAGTCCAATACCACGTTCACAGGCATTCCAAAGCCGCTTTTCTTTGACGAAAACAAGGAGAGATTTGCATTTGCTAAACAGAAAGTTGTCCATGGCATGAATCCCGGTCGAGTTGCAGTCCGTGGATCAAACGAGGATCCGTTTGTGCTCGAGTCAAAACAACGAGGAGCCATAAACGCATTGTTACGCCGCGCAGGGATTTCCAATGGTGACATTCTTCTCATGTCAGATACAGATGAGATTCCAAGTCCTCATGCGTTGAAACTTCTTCAATGGTGTGAAGGGATTCCTCCCATAATGCATCTTGATCTGAGAAACTACATGTACTCGTTCGAGTTTCCCACGGACTACAACTGGAAACCCAGCGCCAACATCTATGGTCCTCGGACTTATTACCGGCATTCACGCCAGACTGACTTTCTTTTATCAGAAGCAGGATGGCATTGTAGCTTTTGCTTTCGGCGTATCTCAGAGTTTGTCTTCAAAATGAAGGGTTATAGTCACGCAGAGCGTGTTAGATGGAAATCTTTCCTTAGTCATTCAAGAATTCAGGAAGTTATTTGCAAAGGAGCTGATCTTTTCGATATGCTACCCGAAGAATACACGTTCCAGGACATGATTAAAAGGTTGGGGCCGATACCTCGTTCGGCTTCTGCGGTTAACCTTCCGGCTTACTTGATAGAAAATGCAGATAAATTTAAGTTCCTTCTTCCTGGAGGTTGCCTAAGAACACCAGAATGAGTGTTTTCAATTTTAATTTTTTGCTTTTTGCGCGGTAACACGCAACTCAGATTTTTTTCTCTTTATTCTAGCTTTTTTTCTCTTTATTCTAGCTTTTTTTCTCTTCATTCTAGCTTTTTTTCAGCTTTTAGGACTTAGTTAAGTAATTTAAAGTCTTTTAATGTTATCATTTTGTACATGATGGGTTATGCTAGGCAGTACGCACTACATACAGTAGTACAAAAAATCATTTATATATAAGAGTATCTGAAAGTTTTGGATAAAATATTATAGAATATCTCTGTGTATAAAATTAGTGGTAGCCATATATTCAACAATTAAAAATAATTAAATTGTTTATGTTTTATGAAATAATAAAAACATTTGATAGTTTTTGACAATAAAAAAATAAAAGGTCCAATATGCAAATAGATGAGATGATGCTAAATAGAAAAACAAAGGGTGAGTTGAACCCAAACAAATAAACAGAGACAAGATCACTGAAATTGTAGGCAATTAACACAAAAAAAAAAAAAAAAAAAAAGAAAAGAAAAACAAAAAGCAACTTAAGGCAATTAACACAAATTAAAGAAAAAAAGAAAAAAAATAGTAACTTAATACTTCCTCATACCTTATTTATAAAAGAAAATTGATTTTTTAAATTTATTGAATAATCATATTGTCTAAAATATTTATTATTCAATAAACATAAAAAAATATTTTTTTAATAAATAAAATTGGAGATAATATCAAATAAAATATCAATGCAAGATCAAATCGTATCTCATTTGTTCATTTTTTAAAAATGAATTTCAGCCGTTAAATTATTAAACTATTTGACAAAAAGATACCATTTTTTAAAAATGAATTTCAGCCATTAATATTTAAACTATTTGACAAAAAGATATCATAAAAACCAAATGAATTCCTTGAGTTGAAAAACTTGACAACATGGACAGTGTAGCTGCGGCAGGCCAACAACCAAAGTCCAACTTTTCACATAAATTAAAAAGTTCCAATTTCGAAGAACCAACTTCCAAAATCCGATTTAGTAAAAAATACTCTCTCCAATCACAATTATAAATTAAAAAAAAAATAATAATTTTATTTCGATCAAAAAGTTAGTTAAATAAAATTAATTTTTTGTAAATATTATTTAAATACAAGTTAAAATTATAAAATATTTTAGTTAATATTTAATGGATGAACTCCTTACATTAAATAATTTAAATTAAATAAATGTGTTGTGAAATAGATGAAAATCAAACACACTAAGAATTCAATGTGTGATAAAGAACCATGACAATTCAATTAAATAGTCTCAAGTAAGATTAATTTATTTAGAGAAAACAAAACCACAATAGTAAAAATAAAACAATAGTAAGAATAATCCAAAAGCATTTGGTTGAGATGGAAAAGATCTTTGAACTTAACTAAAAGTCTTGGGTTTGAAAAATTGTGAAAGTTACAACAATATATGAAATGACATGTCAAAGGATGTAACAAAGATACCATTTTAGATAATTTCTTTCTTATTAAAGTCATTTTTGTCATTTCCATAGAGCAAGCTAAGTAGACAAAAAAAATCTCATTTCGCGACGACATTATGGCTTTCTTGAAGATACAGCCAAAATTTTGGACAAGGTTTCAGTGACTTTGGATTAATGTGATTTTGGTAACTTTGATTTACATTTCATTTTCTCACATCAATATAATATCCATCAATTACCAAAGTCATAGCTACAGGAAACTCACTCAAGTCATTCCCCAAAATCTTGAAATCGATTCACCAAAATAACATAACCATATATATATATATATATATATATATATATATATATATATATATATATATATATATATATATATATATATATATATATATATATATATATATATATATATATATATATATATATATATATATATATATATATATATATATATATATGTATGCATGCGGGAAGTCATTGAATGTAGATAAAATGTCAGTATCAAGCCACTTCCTTTAAAAAAAGATACAATTATCACTTGCACTATAATAATTCGTTTGTAGAGATACACCTCCAGATGATATTTTAAACCACTCGTATCTGAAAATAATTTCAATCGTCGATGGTGCAAAAAACCGCTCGAAAAATAAAGAAGGACAAAAATAATTTGAGATGAAGAGAATAAAGAGGGAGAAGAGAGATTCCAAAAATTCAAAAATATGGCGTCCTTTGCAACTGAACTGATGAACCCTATTAGTGGGTAGGAGATTTAACTGAGTGGAGAGAAAATAGTGGGAGAGTGGAGAAAAATAGTGGGAGGAAATTATTCAGTCAAAACTAAGTTAAAATTAGGTTTTGATGAGTGACACATTATAATTATCAATTAATAATTAATTATTTAACTTCCACGTAATCGATTACAATTAACTTCCATTAATTAATACGGATGACTTTTTCAAATTCACATCAAGTTTTCCAACAATCCACCACTTGAGTTTAAAAAGTGATTTTAGAAGTAACGTCAAACGTTTCTAAGATTGTGCATAAGTAAAGATGTCTACGACTTGAACCTCTGCGTAGCAGGTAGGATTCTGATTCAACAAGAGTGACACCATTGTCTTGAACTCTATCTTCGACATCAAACCCTCACACAACCTTTTCTTAAGGTGTATTCTAATAGCTCGTGCTTTAATGACCCTACACATGTATCCCGATTTAGTAAAGTCTCTAGAAATTCTGCCTCAAAATTCCATAGGAACCGGCCTAAGTTCCACAATCACAAATGTGAGTCTATCAAGAGTACCCCTGTAGCTAAGGTACTGCCTTATACAGAGTATAGATCTCATTAAAAGTTTCTATTATTTCATCCTCTTATTACTTCAGGATTCATGCTTCACTTGCATCATCATCTCATATTGCTCACGACTTGTTATTACCCATTGAACCTATTTTTTGGGATCTCCAGTCATCTAGGTCGGGTTACCATCATGAGTAACTCATTTCTTTATAGGCATTAGTTCCATCTTCTTGGATGTATTATGGACTTTCTCTCTATATAATCCTTTCATTTAAGGATCTGCTAAGTTTTCATTAGTGCATACACGATCCACTCTTATAGCTCCTTTAGAGATACAATCTCTAACAGTGATGTGATTTCTTCTAATTTGACGTCTTTTACCATTATAATAATGGTTCTCCACTTTTGTAATAGTCGCGGTACTATCATAGTGGATCAACACAGTTGGCATATGTTTCTCCCACAGAGGGACCTCTACTAGCAAGCATCTTAACCAACTTGCTTCTTTACTAGTTGTGGCTAGTGCTATCATCTAAGACTCCATTGTGGACTGAGCCAGGATAGTTTGTTTCTTTGATTTCCAAGATACAACTCCTCCAACTATACTAAATATATAGCCACTAGTAGCTTTGGAATCATCTGATAAGGTGTTACAATCTACATGACTATATCCTTCTACTAAAGCAGAAAATGTATGGTAATGTAGGCTGAGATCCATGGTCTTTTTAAGGTACCTCATGACTCGCTCAATAGCTTGCCAGTACTCGTTACTCGGTCTACTCGTAAACCTGCACAACAACCCTACGACATATGCAATGTCAGGTCTAGTACAATCAGTGGCATACCTAAGACTGTCAATGATGCTCGCATATTCTATTTGTTTGACACTTTCACCAGTGTTCTTAAACAGTTTCACACTTGGATCATATGGTGTGCACATAGGTTTACAGTCAAAGTATTTATATTTCTTTAATATCTTCTCCACATAGTGTGATTGATCCAAAGAAATTCCTTGTTTAGATCTCGTGATCTTGATACCAAGGATCACGCTTGGTTCTCCAAGGTCTTTCATATCAAATTTATTGCACAATATTGATTTCACATCATTAATGGCATAAATGTTTGATCCAAATATGAGTAGCTCGTCTACATAGAGACATATGATAGTGCAAATTCATTTTTCAGATTTGTAATAAACGTATTTGTCACTTTCATTCACTTTGTACCCATTTGATATCATTAAGTTATCAAACTTTTCATGTCATTGCTTAGGAGCTTGTTTTAGTCCATACAGAGACTTGTCTAACTTACAGACCTTGTTTTCTTGTCCATGGATCCCAAACCCTTCCGGTTGTTCCATATAGATTTATTCTTCTAAGTCACCATTTGAAAAAGTTGTTTTAACATCCATTTGGTGTACTTTTAAGTTATAAATAGCAACTATTGAAATAAGTAACCTAATGGATGTAATTCTAGTGACTGGAGAAAAAGTGTCGAAGAAATCTATATTTTCTCTTTGTCTAAAACCCTTGGCTATAAGTCGAGCCTTGTATTTATCAATAGTTCCATCAAGTTTTAGTTTCTTTTTCGAAACCCATTTACAACCGATTGGTTTGAAGCCAAGAGGCAAGTCTACTAAGTGTCAGGTCTTGTTAGAATCTAGAGATTCTATCTCATCATTTATAGCTTTTTGCCATAAATTTGAATCCAAAGATGACAAGCCTTTTTGAAGATTTATTGAATATTCTTCTACATTATAAGTTGCATAATCGGGTCCATAATCTTTAGCAACTCTTACTCTTTTACTTCTTCGAAGTTTTGTTTCTACATTATCGTCACTTTCTTTACTTCTTATCACAGGGATGTGACTCGATTGAGTGCACCCATTATTTCTCGATTTTAAGGGAAATTTGTCTTCATAGAATTCGGTATCATTTGATTCTATAATCACATATGCATCCAGGTCATAAAACCTATATGCCTTATTGTTTGCTGCATACCCAATGAATACATATTCATAGGCTCTCCTAGCAAGTTTAACTCGTTTCGGATCCGGAATTCTGACATAAGCCAGAGAGCCCTAAGTTATCAATTAAGACAAGTTTGGTTGTATTTTCTTTAATATCTCATAAGGTGAGCTCTTACTTTTTGACTTGGGAACTCTATTCAAGACATAGCAAATAGTCAATAAAATTTTCCCCCACCAATAAGGTGCAACACCAGAATTCATC